AGTGGAGGAACTAATTAATTATAATGGGAGCTAGCAGTAATCCCCACAATAAAACCATATTTTCCACTGAAGAATCTTCCTTCTTTTTGACAGGCTCTGCTAATGCCGTTTTTGTAATAGGCAACTCAAATTCAGTGAAGTTAGAGCCATCTGACATGAGAAACACCTCTCCCCTACTGAAGAGAGCTTCAGATTATTAAAAATGAATAAATAAATTTGCCCTATAATTTATTGCATTCTTCAGAAAAATCAGGTAGCTCATCAAAACAGATGAGCACAAAGAAAAGAGCTCCGTGTTGCCTAGAAGAAAACAGTTTTGTCATCTCACTGCAGTGGGAAACCATGGAACTGCTGGAACAAGCCAGGGGTGGCAGGAAGAGGACCAGCATCAGTCTCTACTCCACTTTTCTACTGTAACCCCAGATGAACAGGGGGGCAATATCCTAATTTCCTTTCTTCCATTGCTCAAGAACATAAAATAAAGCAGAAATCTGACAAATTCCAAGCCAGCAGAAGAGCATTGGGCTGAGTTTTTCAATGTAACTTTCTCAACACAGTAGATACCATTTTTCTATATACCCTGTGGCAAAATAGCCTTCTCTTACTCCTGTTAACTCTATGGTAAAGAAACCTGCTGTAATGCTCTCCCCTTACTTTCCCGTAGTGCTTGTTTGACAATATGTATTTTACAGAGCCTGTTAACAGGTATACTGAAATCATGGACCACAACTCAAAGGTCTCATGAAATACTGAGTTGAAGGTACCCCAGAGCTCTTCATCTGTATGTTCTCTCCTCCCACAGCACTCATCCTTGGGGCATCCAAAGCAGTGCTTCACACCTAGCTCCACAGCCTTGAAGAAGCATTTCCAAGTGCACGAAGTTGATGGGTTTGTGTAGGAAGATGGAAGCAAAGGCAGCCTTTAAGCTGTGATGGCAATTGGAAAACTACGCCATTAACTGTGCACAGCGCCTGCCGTCCATAAACACAGACCTTTTCAAACAGAAAGGAAGGGAAACAAAGCAAGCCTAAGATGCTTTACAGCGACCAAGGATTCATTAAATAGGAGTCCAGCCACTGTAAAAACCGGAGATAACCATATTTTAGGTACCAGAAAATATTATTATGGGAGGTAGTTGTAATTCTATTACAGAATTCCCCTTCCTTTATTCTCAAGAGCTCTGCTTATGCCATTTTTGCAAGAGGCAACTGCAAAACCTCCCATGACTTACTTCAGAAACCCATCTGACAACCTCAGTTCTCAACTGAGCTTAAGCTGCAAACTTGCATTTGGTGCTCCACAGTGCATAATACAGATATGTTTGAATGTAAGTACTTACTGGTGCAAAGGCCAAAATCTATTCCAGTTTGGGGAAAAAACCCACAAACACCACTCTGAGTATATAACGACAGCCCTCAGCCTCTCCACCCCACAACGTCTATCTTTAAAAAAAAACAACCACCACAACACAACCTGAGGGGAAAAGTAGGGAGAAATTTTTTTTCAGGATTACAATATTTGGTTTTAATATAATTTCTCTAGTTACATTTGTAATATAATGGACAATACACGACAGCAATCACTCTTCCCCCCCCCCCTCAAAAAAAAGAGTATTTAGTGGTAGAAGCCTAAATTTTTGTCATGTTGAAAATAAAATCAAAACACTATCCGTTCTCCTTAACTTCTCAGAGCTGAAAAAAATTTATTTTCTGAGAGGAAAACATAATGATTTAATGGAACCTGCAGCAGGTATTTTCCAGATTTTTTCCTCCTAACAATCTACACCGCTACTCTACTTGCAATAGTCATGCATATTTGTTGTGTTGAAATGTCAACCAAACCAAGACTTCTTTTTTAAAGCCATATATTAAAATGGTTACTTACCAGTTAGAAGCCTGTTATGAAACCAACGTTTGAAAAATCATATATAAGAGTCACAAACACAGAGTCACATATGTAAAGTCTTTTTATTATAACTATCTTTCACCTAACTGCCTAAAATAGGCAAAATTAAAAAAAGTTGTTTAGACTGCAAACCCAACTATCTGTAAGACAGAAATTACTATGTTTTGTTTGGCTGAAACACCTTAATTCCTCCTAGTTTTTGCAATAATTGAAGCAACCACCCTCTTGGGAAAAAGAAGGCAATCATAATTAAATGCTATACAGCAACATGAAAGGAGATTCATTAGATGTGCATGAGAGAAATAAGCACAATGTTTTCTAATGGCTAAATAGAAAAACTGGAAACTCAAATTACATGCGTTTGACACAGCTGAAAAACCCAGTTAATTTAACTGAGATTATGTTAAAAAGAAAAGCAAGAACCTTGCCATACACCAACCAATTCTGAGCCTTGAGTGTTCAACCAGGCAGTCTGCTGAGGCTTAGGCAACCTGTTCAGCTGCCAGCAGCAAGAGACTTATTCCTTGCTGTGGGCTGACCTCAGCGAATCCAGCTAAGCACTCAGTCCCTGCTCCTGTGGGATGCAGAGGGTACGAAGGATGGTGAGGAGACTTGTGGGTGGAGGTAATGACAGTTTAAAGGGAAAGCCAAAGCTGTGTGCCCAAGCAGAGTGAAAAAGGAATGGATTTACTGCTTCCCATTGGCAGGCAGGGGTCCAGCCACTTCCCAGAAAGCTGAGCCTCAACACACCAGTGGTGGCTTGGGAAGTAGAAGACAAACGCGGTATAGCCACAAATGTCCCTCCTTTCTCCTCCTTCCCTCCAGCTATTCTTGCTAAGCACCAGATCGCATGGTACAGAAGAGCCCTTTGGCCGGTCGGCTGTCGAGCCCAGCAGAGGCAACCCATTTCCCCGCTGCTGCTGAACAGCCTTTACGGAGAGGGTGCCCAACCCAAGCGCTGGCCTTGGCAAACGAAGCCCGAAATTGCACGTT